GCCCCCCCCCCCAGCGCTGGGCATCCCAGAACCTCCCCCTGGGCATCCCAGACCCCCCAGCGCTGGGCATCCCAGTACTGCCCACCGGCCCCCCCCCCCCCCCCCCCGCCCCCCCCCCCCCCCCCCCAGCGCTGGGCATCCCAGCCCGCCCCCCAGACGTGGGCATCCCAGCCCCAAGCCGCTCACCCGCGCCAGGCTGCATCCCAGCCGCGGGCTCCCCCTCTGGCCGGGCTGGAACAGAGAAGTGCTGCGTGCGCGGCCCGGGCCTTGGCCCCGGGCTCAGGGGGCGCCTCCCCCCGCTCCCAGCCGGGCCCGGCGAGGCTGCGGCAGCTCAGGCCGGGCGGCTGCGGGAGGCGCTGCAGCGCGAGCCCTTCCCGGGCGGGGAACTCGGGCTCCCGGGAGCCGCCGGCGCGCGCCGAGAAACTTTCCCCTGCGCCCGGACCCCCCCCTCGGCAGCGGCTCCGCAGGGCGGGGGAGGGGGAGGCAGCCCCGGCTGCACGGGCTGCTGGCGGGGGGGCTCCTTGCACGGCCGGGGCGGAGGGGGGAGACGGAGGCTCTGCCAGAGCCCCGGGGGATGCTCGGAGGAGGGAGAAGCGGCCGCGGGTCCCCCCCGCAGCTGGCTGCAGAGACGCCACCGCTCCTAGCCGTGGGGCGGGGGGTTGCAGCAGCACTGGGGGAGGGGGGTTGCAATCCGCAGGCTGCAGCGAGCTGACACCCCAAGAGAGGGGGGGAGGGGGGGCTTTGTGGCAAGTCTCAGCTTGCAGGGGGGGACCTGCCGGGGCTGATCCCACCCCCCACCCCCGCTGCGCTTCCCGGGATTCCCCTGCCGCTTGCTGAGCTGAGCCGGGATGGCGGGGGCTGTTTGCTCCTGGGTACCCGCCACAGGTTAGCGAGCCTAGTCCCGGGCAGCGAGCTTGGCGCCTGGAAGGACCACCCGCCCAGCGGAACAAGTCAGCTTGCCAAGGTGCAGCCGGGGGGCGGGGGGGGCTGCTACCCCTCCCCATCCCTATCATGAATCCTCCTGCCGCCCGCCTCGCTCCCTACCCAGCTGCGGGAGGGAAGCGCAGAGTTGCTGCGTGCGGGGCCGGAGAGAGAATTACCGCCTGGCTTTCGCCTGGCAAACTGCATCAAACCAGGGGGAAATATTAGCCGCCGCTCTGCGGGCTGAATGCAAAGGAGCTGCCCAGCGATCCGGGCTCCCTCCAGCCCCCGCCGGGCAGCAAAGGCGTTTTCGCTGGAGCCCAGACCCTCAAAGAGAAGCCGGGTGGACCGGCTGCATCTTCTGGATACTTTCGGGTTTCATCCGCTGGAAGAAACTGGGCTTTAGAAAAATCCAGCCCGCTGAGGGTGAGAGTCTGACCCTGCCTGGACCAGGAGCACAGGACGGTGCAGGCAGCTGTGACAAGGAGCCACCCTCGAGAGGGGCAGATCCCCCCTCCCCCGCGCGTGGGGTCCCCCTGCAAGGCTGGGATGCGGTGACCCAGGTACTAAAGGAACCAGTCTGTGCCCCTGGAGCTGCAGCTCTCCTGCTTGGCTGGAGCTGGGGGCTCCCTTGCTGCAGCCTTCCTCCTGCTCAGAGGGGCTGGAACTAGGGGGGCTGCCGCCCCCCCCCCCTTGACGTGGTTTCCATCACATCCAGGGTTTACAGTTTGGTTCAACAGCTCTCAGCACCCCCACTGTACAAATGGTTCCAGCGCCCCTGCTCCTGCTCCTCCTCTGAAGGGAATGCAGCTGCTCCCCAGCCATGCTGGGCTATCCTGTGCCAGGTGGAGACGGCCCTGGTAGTTGGATTTAGAGGGGACCACGACTTCCTGCAGCGTGAGAGGGGGCCCAGCCCTGCCTCCCCGCCCCCCTCCCAGCCCACTCAGGATGCTGGCCGGCTGGAGAGAGCTCTCTGTAGGGATTGGTGCCACGCTTTGCTGCCTCCTCTTCTTCTGGCTCTTGTATTCTCATCCGCCTAAGGAAGGTAAAGTCTCTGCTGTATCATACGCCTGCCAAGGCTGCTGGCTTGTGCCAGCTGGGGCAGTGGGAGTTTTAAAGGGGTTGTGTCACCTTCCGCCACATGCCACCCCAGAGAGCCTGCATCAGAGCCATCTGATGCCATGCAACCTGTACGGATCCCCCGCCTCTTTGGGATTTAGCATAGCAGAGTTAGCATTTCCTGCTGTAAGGGCTGGGGGCAAACTTTCCAGCAAGGGCTCCCCAGAGGAGAAGAGGTTCAGTCTCCCATTGGGCTCAGTCTTTGGCTGCCAGGTGCCTGGCCAGAATCCTGGACTGGTTTTCAATTTGAGAGGCGCTGGCCTGCAGTAGGGGGAGGATTCACCTCTTTGTGGACTGGGAGTCTGGGGGCCTGATAAGCCTTGCGAGCTGAGCCGTTCACCAAGGAAACTGGGGCTGCCCTTCCCTCCCGAGGATGCTGGGCCTGCGTGTTGCACTGGGTCCAATGGGGCTAGGTCAGAGCTGGCCCAAGAGATGGGGCTGCCTCTCCTCCCTGTTACCAGTTGCTAAATCACATTAGAAAGAGCATGAGATACAGTCAGTACTTCCCTAATGATTCCTCTCCATGTAAGGCAGTTGCGGTGTCATCCAGTGGGAAGGGAAGTGGTCTGTGCCATCATGAGTGGGGATGTGCCCATAGGACAATCTCTCCCTGAAGATGTGGGGATACCCTGGGAAAAAGTTTACTCTAAGGTCTGAAGCACAGGACTGGGAGTTAGGAAGTCTGGGTTGAACCCTGGGCTCTGCCACAGACTTCCTGTGGGACCATGGGCAAGTCACTTAGTCTCTCTGTGCCTTGGTTTCCCATCTGTGAACTGGAGATCATGGTTTACTGAGGATTGTTTATTAACAGGGGTAAAGCGCTTAGATGAAAGGTGCTACAAAGTGCAAAATATTAGTGCCATGGGGGCTGGGGCTGTTATATTTACATGGGATAAATTAAAATAAGCTCCCTTGGGAATGAACTCTCTTTAATTGTACAGAGTCCCATATAATGCGGATTGCAGCTTGGGTTCCCAGGGTGACTCTTCTCCCAGACAAGGGGGGTGGGGGGAGAGAAGTGAAAGTAGGACACAGAAAGGAAAACTGCCAGGTTAAAAAAAAAAAAAACCCTGAAGAGCACTGTCAGTTTCCCTTTTCCTTCAAACTGGGGGGCGCTGTATCTTTCCAGTGACTGAACTTCATCTAGTTCAGTGTCCCACTTTCCAGTGATGTCCCAGCTGGTTTCCAGAAGGCGTCTTGGGGATGGCCAGACATCTATATTGGATGAGAGCTGAAATCTCTCTCTCTCTCTCTTGTCTTTTGATGGTATCTCATGCAGTACTGATCCTTTTTATAGCTGAAATGAAATTCACTTCCAGCACTGCTTGGTCTGTCTCCCAAATGCTGCCAACACGGGGGAGGAGGGTTTCACACATGACCCAAGGAAAGACAGTGGGAAACTGGAAGAGAAGCTGTTAAAACGGCATGGAAATTGGGGTGACAAATGGCTGAGAACGCTCCCCTTTTGTGGGGCTCAATCCTGTGGGGGTGCTGTGCCCCTTGACCTAGGGAGGTGGTGGAATCTCCATCCTTAGAGGTTTTTAAGGCCCAGCTGGACAAAGCCCTGGCTGGGATGATTTAGTTGGGGATTGGCCCTGCTTTGAGCAGGGGGTTGGACTAGATGACCTTCTGAGGTCCCTTCCAACCCTGATACTCTATGATTCTATGATTCCAGCGTGAATTGAGGTTGTTTGGCACCTCAAAGGACAGGCCCCGTGCTACGTAACTGATTTGCCATTCAATCTTCTCCTCCGCTTTCTTGCTGCTAATTTGCCGCGTGACTGCCGGGGCTGGCAGCAACCTGAACAAACCGTGCCAAGATGCTTGCTCGCCCCTTGAATCAGCACCGTTACACTGAGCGCTTCAGCGAGCCGGCCGCGTCTCCCTCGCCTCCAGAGGCTGCGCTTGCAAATGAGGACGTGAGAGGAGCGTTGCTGAGCCATGTGGATCCATAAATAATGCCACAATTACCAACTGTAACTAAACATTTGTGCAATAATTCAAATGATGCAGCATTACTCAGCCAAGCAAGAGACAAGTTCAAGCCTGGCCTCGGGCATGGAAGAGGCTAGAACTGCTAAAGCATCAGCTGGGTTGGCAGAGCTATAAGATAGGACAGCTAGAGGGTGCAATGCTCCTGACTCCACAGCACCCCCTGCTGGGCAATTTGTAAAGCATTGTTAGAGGTAAGGGGCCGCAGCAGATTGCAAATGTCAGAGGAAAGGAACCCCAGCGTCTTTCTGATTTAAGATATTAAACCAGAAAGCCCTGCTTAGCAAATGGGTAGAGAGAAGGCCTAGTCAGAGAGGTGCGGATTGAACCAGGAAATCCTAAATTCAAACTTCAGCTCTGCCATTAACTCGCTGTGTGGGTTTAAGCAAATCATGTGACCTTTCTGGCCCAAATTTCTGCTCTGAGTGACACTGGTGTAAATCCAGAGTAACTTCAGTGGAGTCACTCCTGATTCACAGTGGAGTAAGTGAGAATTTGGCCCGCTCTCAATTTGACACACGTGTGTTTTAGTTGCTCCAGTCTGTGTAAAGGGGACAGTTGCACTTAACTACATCAGATGTGGGTTGGGAGGATTAATCAGTTAATGTTCTCTAGGCAAGTGCGAAGTATAATGCTCAAATGTGTGTGCGTGTGGCCGGGTGGAGGGGGAAGTGGTTTCCAGTAATTTCAAGGGGGAGTTCTGATTTAAAAACCAGTGGCCCCAAAAGACCCCCCTCTCTCTCTGGCTGGGTACCTGGAGAGTGTAGAATTTGAATGGCTCTGAGCAAATTTTGAAATTAACACCCCTTGAAGCAAATGAGCAGAGAAATTTCAGAGAGACCCTAACGTTTTCAGAGCCGTGATTCTCAGTGCCCTTGCCCTGCTTGAGAGTTTCTTCTCACTCTTCTTATGATGGAATAAAACAACTCAGAGCAGTTCTCTTGCGTTCCTTGTGGCGTGCAGTTGTGTATGAATGCAGAGCTGGCAGCGCCCCCTCCTTTAGAAGGAGGATTTAGTTTGGATCCATATTAGATGCTCTCCAAGCTGCCATCATTCTTGTGCTGGAGCATTTTGCAATGTGTGACTCATACAATCTCCTCTGGACATTATTGAAATCCCCCATCGTCCAAATGGCCACAGCTAATTGGCAGTGTATGTGTGGGCAGGGGTGGTGGTGAATGAATCCCCCTGGTGCAGATCCCAGAGATTCCCAAGGCATATCCCAAACCAAACCATAATCCCTGCTGAATCAATGGCAAATCTCCCACTGATTTCATTGGAACCAGTATTTGGCCCAGAGGATGCCTGGCTGTGGGCAGCAAACAGCACTGGCTTCAAAGCTACCAAACACTAGGCCAAACATGGCTCACGCTGGAGCTGCCTATAAAACACTTGTGACTGCCTGTAGCAGACCGTAGGGTCGCTTCTTCAGCAGTGACCCTGCCTCCACCCAGCAGAGGCCGGGAATGATGGCCGAAGCCCCTAATACTCGTCCACAGACTCCCTTTCTGAGAGATTCTCCCCGGTGACTGGTCCGTGCATTTTTTAAAATTTGGTAATGACGAGGGATTGTCAGTGTTATTGACCCATCACTTAGGAATGGTCCATGGGGTGCACATCTCAGCCCAGTGAATTTTTCCTGCTCCTGTCTCTCTCCTGTCTCTCTCCACTTGGTGCTTTTCTTAGTCTAATACAGACTGATGCTCCTGAAGATGTCTCACTCACGTCACCCGAGGAGAGGAGAGGAGGAGAAAACGCCCCATCTCTTCAGTGCTATTTTCAAGGGGCTGATTGAGAGAGGAGCGAGAAGCAGGAGCAAACAGAGATCTAGAGTTACATGCACTGGCTGCTTTAAATCTAGGAACACTTTGAATGCCAGGCACACAATTAATTTCAATGTAATGGGAGGGATAGCAGCGTGTTAAATAATTGCCCCGAGGAACGGAGGCTTTGGATTCATAACCAAGTACAAACTGGAGCTGTCCATTGGCATTCGTCAGTGTTGCCTCTGCTGTGCATTTAAAACCTACGTTGACTCAGTTACCCAGACCCTTCCAGGGGGCGAACTCCCCCGCTCTTCCACTTTAAATGCCAAGTTTAATAGCCTTGGTCCATTGAACTCAGCAGGTGTTTTGCCACTGACTTCCCCCAGGAGCCTCATTTCACCCCACATCTGTACTGAAAGCCTTTCGCAGCACTGGGAACTGCATGTACATAGCTCCCAGGGCTGGGTAGAAGGCTGGGTGTCCATCTCAGCCTCAGAAGCATAGACGGCAGGGGAGGCATCCATGAGATGGTCTCTCTGTTAAAGGGATCTGCAAGTCAGGTTGCAAGCTGGGAGCCCACTTTGGCCTGCTTGGGCTGGGAACCAAGTGTAGGGAACTGGGCGTAAACTTGTCTTGAATAATGGTTCCAGCTAAACTGGTTCCTAAGCTGGTTTAGCTGATGGGAGTGGATGGAGTCAATTTGTGTTTGAAAACCATGCTAGCTCGTTATCCATCCATCCATGGCAGTCGCTCTAACACTTGAGCATCCAGGCAGTGGACAGACACAGTCTGAGCTGGATGGCTTATTCCCTTGAGCAGGAGGCTGACCTGAAGAGACGCCGCTTCATGTCTTCAAGGCTCATCCTGAGCTCCAAGCACAGTGAATTCCACAGTGCCTGACCCCGGCACATTTCAAACTGGGCCCAGCATTGAAACCAAGCAGCCTGCAGTTCAGGGGAGAGACAGGTGGAGCAGAGCATGGGCCCACAGGGGTTTCTGGCCAGCTGGTTAGCGGGGCAGCTGGAGCATTTAAGAGAGTCAGGCCTGATCATATCACTCCAGAGTCTGCCCTGAGGGGCAGGGCACTCGTTCTATGGAAATGTGGCTGCGCTGGTGAGACAGGCTGTCCAGGAATCCCGGCAGAGAGCCTGGCACAAGGTATAGCAGTGTAGGTTTTCTGCTGGCTTTCATCCAGAAGGAGCACTGGGTGTGGCTGGAGGAGACCAGACAGTGAGTGCAATAAAACTCTCCAGGCCTTCCTCGCTTGTCTTCAATGGAGTCCCTCCTGTTTTACTGCCCTGTTAGTGGGAGCAGGAGCCAGCTCAGTATTTGTCAGGACAACAGAGAAGCTCCAGCCAGCAGGCCACACAAGAAGAACAAAGCAGCCGCATCCAGTTACTCAGCATGACTGCAGGCTGAAGCTGTTGCTGAAGAAAGAAGTGGCTATATTTTCAGATCAATAAAAAACAGAAAAGACTAAGGATAAATACATTAAAAGGCTGTGAGGTGCTCAGGCACTATTGTTATGTGAGGCCAGATGAGGATCATAGATTTAAGGATCAAAGAAGTTCTGAAAGCTTTGTAATGCTTTGCCCTCCGTTTGCTATGAATTAAGGGCCTGATTCTGGGATGTGGCAAGTGCCCAACTCCCGTTCACTTGAGCGGGAGCTGAAGGTTATTATTGAAGTATAACCATACTTAGAAAATATTTTCAGTGGGTTTTTTAGATTTCCTGATGACCCCGAACCATCAAATGCAGACCTGCTTTTGGGGCCAGAACTCAGCGCCAGCGCTTGGAGGTGTTAAGATTTGACAGAGTTCACTGTTTCGGTCCATTCCACGGACAGCCCATTTGGATCAGAGTTTAGCTCTTGCTTTCTACACACTCAGGAATTGAATCATAGAATCATAGAATATCAGGGTTGGAAGAGACCTCAGGAGGTTATCTAGTCCAACCCCCTGTTCGAAGCAGGATCAATCCCCAACTAAATCATCCCAGCCAGGGCTTTGTCAAGCCTGACCTTAAAAACCTCTAAGGAAGGAGATTCCACCACCTCCCTAGGTAACCCATTCCAGTGCTTCACCACCCTCCTAGTGAAAAAGTTTTTCCTAATATCCAACCTAAACCTGCCCCACTGCAACTTGAGACCTTGCTCCTTGTTCTGTCATCTGGTACCACTGAGAATAGCCTAGATCCATCCTCTTTGGAACCCCCTTTCAGGTAGTTGAAGGCAGCTATCAAATCCCCCCTCATTCTTCTCTTCTGTAGACTAAATAATCCCAATTGAGACCCATCTCTAGCTATCATAGGTACTTACATGGCCCGCATCGCCATAACATCCGACTGCCTCACACTCTTTGAATAATCATACCTTGCTCTTCTGTAGCACTTTTCAACAATAGATCTCAAAGCGCGTCACCATTTTTAATGTGTTTATCCTCACGCCCCTAGGAGATAGGGCAGTGCTACTATCCCCATTGTACAGATGGGGAACCGAGGCACAGAGAAACTAAGACACATAAGGATCAGAGCCTAACTCCCATTGAAATCAGTGGAAATTAGGTGCCTAAATACCTTTGAGGATCTGGGCCTAAGTGACTTGCCCAAGGTCCCAGGTGTCTCAGCCCTGACGACTGCACCTCCTCATTCCTCTTGATAGCTAGCGTCCCAAAGTTTAAAAAGTCAACCAGAAAACTCCACAACACCCTCCCCACAAACAAACCATCTACTCACAGCAAAAAAATAAATTCACCGAGTCTCAGAGTCCAGGCCAACAGACTTGGGCTCACGCTGCAGGGCTAAAAATCGCCATGTAGATGGTCGGGCTGGAGCCCCGGCTCCGAGACCCTCCCCGCTCACCTGGTTTCACAGCCCCAACTCCAGCCCGAGCCCAGACGTCTACGTGGCTATTTTTAGCCCCGCAGTGCCAGCCCCAGGAGCCTGAGTCATCTGATCCGTGCTCTGAGACTCCTCACCACAGGGATGTTGTTGTTGTTGGTTTTTTTGCTGTGTAGACGTGCCCAAATGAAGGGCCTGATCCTGGAATCCTTCCCCATCAGACCATTCCCCACTGACTTCAGTGCTACGACTGTCATGAGGAATAAAGGACCGGGCCCTAATTAATCAAAACAAAGGCATAAAACAACATACTCCGAGGCAAGTCAGACCTGACGAATGCCATTCTAATAGAAACATCTTACCCACCCACATCTACTTACTCAGATAACAAACAGCTTACTCTGGGAGAGTCCAGATTGAATTTATATATTACAGGCCAAATAAATAGGAAAAGGCCTGCCAAATGCTTCCATATAAATCCCAGTGATCTCATCTCTTTTCATCTGTGCAATTTGGAAAAATATGAAGGGAAGGAGCAAGTGTTTTTATCCAGCTAATAGGGTAAATGGCAAACAGGTGGAGTTTCTTTCATTTGAAGGAGCAGGACTGTCCGAAATAGAGAGATGCCACAGCTGCAGACTGTGCTTGGGATCATAGTAGAGCTGTTCGAAGGACTCCCCCTCCTCCCCTTGATCAGGGGAGAGGCACCCTGCTTATGTTGTAAGCCACTCCCAGGCCCCATGGGACAGGAAAGGAGCTGAGGGAAGGTGCTCGGTGCCTGGCCAGGGGGGAGGTGAAAAGCCTTTTCTCTAGATTGGGCCATCTCCAGAGTTGTCCTGACTCAGGCTCAAGTCCCATGGAGGAACTGCTCCCACTGAACTCAATAGGGACTGATGGATTTGGACCTCTGTGGGGTTTAGGTTTCCTTCCGCCATCTAAAGTCCATGGGAGCGTCAGGCTGGTAGCCCCTCTGAGAACCAGGCCCTCGCTGGCTCTGGCTGGGCTCCCAAGAAACAGAGGCATCCAAAAATCAGTGGCTTCTTTTGACTCTGTTGGCCCAGAACACACAGCAAGTCAGTGACAGAGCTGGGCATGGGACCCAGCCGCCCTGACTCCCACCTCCTGTTCTTGCTACAAGGGCTGCACCCTGAGCGCAGGTGCCCTGCCCTGGCGCTCTCACTGCGCCGTGGCTGCTGGATGTCCCCGTGTCTCGTTGCAGGGAAGGAGCTGGAGGTGGGGACGTGTGAGATTACGGCGCTGAACAGAGACCTCAGCCACCCCAGGAGGATGATCGCCCGGCAGACAGCACGCTGTGCCTGCAGGAGAGGCCAAGTCGCAGGCACAACGAGGACAAAACCTGCCTGTGTGGATGGTAAGAGATCTCTGACTGCTCCAGAGTGCTACGGGCCAGGGCCATGGGGCTGCCTGGGGCTTCTTGGTTTTCATTCAATCTTATGCACGCCATGGGCGCTTGGGACTTTATGATGACAGCAGCCACAGAACTCAGCTCCTCCTGCTCCCAGAGGGGCTGGAACTAGGGGTGAGGCTGCACCCCCTGGCTTGAAGCGGTTTCCATCACATGCAGGGTTTAGCGTTTAGTTCAATGGCTCTCAGCACCCCTGCCTGGCCCAGAAACACAGGCCCCTATCATCACTGGGAGCTGCTAACCGTACAGGTGAAGTGACACACAGTCAAACAGTCCTGGGTGGGGTCCATGGTGACACACACACACGCCTGCTCATTGAGAACACTCACGGTCCAGCAACGTCCGGCTGTATCAGGGTTTATATCTGTTGGTAGCAAGGAGGGGGGCAAGGGAGGGGAAGAACCCCCTAAACATGAGGGGGGGTGCAAAGCTCTTTGGAAAATCTGGCCCGTTTGTGGGTGCCAAGCCCATGAAAATCTGGCTCTGAACTTTTTGGGAAGTCCAGCTTCACAAGCGAACTCCTCTCCACTCCCGGGCACTGCACGAGTGCAGGGAGGCATGAGGCGTGCTGAGGCCCTGCTGGACAGAGTGCTGCAAAGAAAGTCCCACTGATCCAAGCAGGAGTGTTGCTATGCCCGCAGCTGTCAGGGGCCACGTGGAGCCCTGGGGAGGGAGGGACATGTCATCTCAGGTTGCTCTGCATAGGGAAGGTGTCCCTCACAGGTGGCAGGTGTCCCTATGCGTGGGGAACACAAGAGGCTGCTCTAAGGTGCTACAATGATACAGATTGTAACTTTCTGCATAAACTGTCCCTAATGGCCTCAATTCTCTCTCCCTTTCTCCTCTGCCCCTTTGACACATTTTATTTTGCTCTTATTTTATCTCCTGGTCTCCTTGTTTTGAATAACTCAACCCTTCTTTCCACTCTCTTTGATTTTACTGTCCTTAATTGTTCCTGTTCTTGTTTAATCTTGTGCCCTCTCTCTCCTCATACCTACCTACCCATCCATCCTTATATACACCCATCCCCATACATATCCATCCATCCTTATATATACCCATCTTTCTTTCCTTATACACACCCATCTATCTATCCATCCCCATACATATCTGTCTCTCCATGTCTATATACACCCGTCCATCTCTCTATATACACATCTATCCATCCATCCCTATATACATCTGTCTCTCCATCCCTATATATACACCTTTCTATCCATCCATCTATCCCAATATACACCCATCTATCCATCCATCTCTATTATATACACCCATCTATCTATCTATCCCCATACATATCTGTCTCTCCACGTCTATATACACCCATCTATCCATCCATCCATCTCTCTGTATACACATCCATCTATCTATCCATCCATCCCCATATACATCTGTCTCTCCATCCCTATATACACCTTTCTATCCATCCATCCCTATATACACCCATTTATGTATCCATCCATTGCTATATATACACCCATCTATTTATCCATTCCCATACATATCTGTCTCTCCATTTCTATATATACCCATCTATCCATTCATCTCTATATATACACATCTGTCTATCCATCCCTCCCATACACATCTGTCTCTCCATCCCTATATATATATATATATACACACCCACCTTTCTATCCATCCCTATATATACCCATCTTTTTCCCCTTTGTACTCTACCCTCTTTCATAACCCTTCTAATTTCTCCCTCCCCTCCCCATGCTCCGTTCCCTCCCCCGCTCTCTCTGGCAGCTCAGTTCATTGCCAGTAAGCAGTGGTGCGGGATGGAGCCCTGTGACGAAGGGGAGCAGTGCACTTTGTTAATAAATCGTTCAGGCTGGAGCTGCACTAGACGACTGGGCCGAATAAAAACCGTCACAGTAAGTAACTCCTGCCTCCCTGTAACCAACCCGACTGAGATGGGAGAAGGAACCAGCCGGGGGTGGGGGTGGAGGGTGTCCTGGTCTGAAGGTATCTGGAGAGAGGGGGATTGGTGTTAGCTGGGAAAGAAGGTGAATCACCGGGGTGTGTGTCTGTCTCCATGGGTGAGTGAGGACACCCCCCCCACCCATCAGCTCATGCCAGTAAAACCTGAGCTGCTCTGCCCAGAGAGCTATTCCAGGAACCAACCAGGACAGGCAATAAGGAAAGGCTATAAACATGTCTCCGTAGGGCTGGGTGCTCCTTTGCCGGAGAAACTGGTTTCACTCCCATTGCCTGATCTTAGCTTCAGTGGGGATGGGCATTTCCAGGCCTCTCCCTGCACAGTCAACCCCAACCATTCAAAGATCATGAGGCAGGCGTCCGAAGATCATGAGATTGGCTTAAAAAGTACCATATTGTCTAGGGCCTGGATCCTCAAAAGTATTTAGGAGCCTAACTCCCAGTGATTTCAATGGGAGTTAAAGCTATTTAGGAGCCTAAGGGTCTGGGCCTAGGCACCTCGCAAATGAGCCTGTGAGGGGTGGGACAGGTCAGCCTAGTTGTTATCCCATCTTAGAGTGATGGAGAAACTGAGGCACAGAGCAGGGAAGTGACCTGCTCACACAGATTCAGTGACAGAGTCAGAATAAGAGCTGAGATCTCCAGCCTCCTAGACCTGGATATTAACCACAAGACCATCCCTCTCCTAGTATGCACGTGTGTATGGGGAAGGTCAAGTCTTTAGGTATAGGGAGGGAAGGGGGAATATTTGCATGGCGGGAAAGGGAGCTTGCTGTCTCTTACTCCAGACAGGCGAGCAGAGCACTGTGGTTGCTCCACGCAACGTGCACAGACCCCGACGGGAGAAACGGCCCCAAGAAACACAGACCTCTGGCTAAAGTGGGCTTTGATGGAAATTGCAATGAAATCCCAACACGAGGTACTTTCCTTCCGCTTGTCCTGAGAGCACAGGGAGGCAGCTGCTGGCACCTAAGGGAATCAGCTTTGCTAACACAGGGAGAGAATAGTAGATCCTGCAGGCCTGTTCTCAGACCTAGCTCCATCCCCCAGGGAGAGCAGACGGTCTAGTGCCCACTTGCCAACCCCCACTCACAGACTCCACTCAGCTCCGTCTCTGCCCCAGGGACGGGATAAACAGGTGGTGTCCCTTTGGTACAAGCACTGGCCCTGCATTATCATAGAGTGGACCCAGTTCGGTTCTGCCTTGTCCGAGTACAAATGCATCATGGCTTTGTTTCTAGTGCAGGGAATACAGGCAGCAGGCTCTGGCACCTGCTCCCTTCTGTCTTCAGAAGGAAGGCCCTCTTCTCCATTGGGACTGCCTGCCAGGCTCCCCCACCATGCCACAGGCTGCAGCCTGGACTAGACCTGTACACAGCCAACACATGCTGTCATGTTAAACATCTGAAACCTGCAGACTGGTTCACAGCTGGTTTAGTGCCAGCCTCTCCCAGCACGGGAACTGTAAAGAAGAAGGCAAGATCACTGGCTGTGGGGGAGCTCCCAACTACTCCAGTCCCTGCCATTCCCAGCAGGGGGTGCTGTAGGGCATGGTACAGCAGCAGTGCCACAGAGGAGGGGAAGGGGGCCAGCTTCCAACAGGCGCATGCTTTTCCTAACACCCACAGGAACTTTGGGGATATTTTATAGGCTGGTGGGGAGTGGGCAAGCCCGAGCTGGAAAACCTGGATCCAGATTTGGAACCCTTTCTGACCCCAAGCGTTGGGGGTGTTGAGATTGGTGGTTCTGTTTTGGTCTGTTATAGCTATGGGGGCCAGCTGTGAGGTTCAGATCTGGATCCAGGTTCAGACTTCAGGCATCTCCCGAAAATCTGGGGCTGTCTGGATCCAGGGTTTGAGCTGGGGCCCATCTCTGTCAGGCTGCTCGGCCTTTCCCTTCCCAGACAGCCGAGAGAGACTGGAGCCCTGGTCTCTGCTGTGGGGAGGGCTGAGGGGACGCAGGTGGAGGAGGGTCTGTGCAGCTTGCAATTGAAGGCTGTCAAAGTGACACGCTCCTCCAAAGGAGCCCTCAGATCCAGAAGCAGCTGCCTGGCTTCCCTCCGCGCGAGGCCCGGGAGTCTGCTCTGCAGTCAGCTCAGCAAGTGAATAACAATGAACGGGGAGCTGGATGCTGCTGGTGGGAGCCTCCGAAGTGCAGCGGGATATTTTATTAATGTCAGAGACATTAAGATTTGGAGAAGAGCGAATTACGCTCCCCGCAGCACAGGGGAGACAGGCCTCGCCAGCCCACGGCCGTTTATCTCGCCAGCAGGCAGCCGTGTGAACACGGCTGTCCTGGCCGCTAGCCATCTCCATGTTATCGGGTTTGTCTCAAGGCCCGGTGGGAGGGACCCTCTGCTGCACAGGGAGGAATCAGGGCTGGACGGAGCCTTTGCAGAAATGTGGCTCTCTGGCTGGTTTAGAATGAGGTGCCCATGCAAAGGGCTGATCTCTGGGGTCTGAAGTACAGTTTAGTTTCCTGTTTAGTTACATAGGCACAGCCCCACTGGGTCAGACCAGGGGCCCCATCTAGCCCAGTATCCTGTTGCCAACAGTGACCAGCACCTGCTGCTTCAAAGGAAGGTGCAAGAACCCTGCAGTGGGCGGCTAAGGGGAAAACCTGCATTATGTTTCCTCCTGATCCCTTATAGAGATCAGTTGAAGCCATGAAGCATGAGGTTAGCCCTTCCAAAACGTGTTAGCAATAACTACTGTATGCTAAATCTGGATATTCATGGTATCCATGTAACTGTCCAATCCCTTTGTTAATCCTGCTAAATTCTTAGCCTCAGTGACATCATGTGGCAGTGAGTTCCACCGTCAAATGATGTGCAAAATGACAAATCTAATTAGTGTGGTCAGGACCTGATCTGCAGCCTCAGGACGCTGTATCCAGGGCTGATGTCCTGTCTGGGTCTGTGTGTCCTGTCAGGGCTTTGCCTTGCAGAGTTGGGCTGCCAGCGCCAGCCCTGGTGATAGCAGGGGACTTGACCCAGGAGATCCCTTCCAGGCCTATGCCCCTATGACCATGGAGTCCTGTCTAAAAAGGATGGGACCCTTTGTATTGTCAGGGCATTATCTACATGGTTGGGACTGAGTCTCTGTATAAGGCTGAGCTCTGGGTTTGGATCAGGGTCTTTTCTCCAGTTGTATCTGGGTTTGGATTTAGGATTGAAGCTGGTTCTGAGAGATTGGGGAGACTTCTGAGAGAAGTCTGGGGTATGGCTGGAGCCCTGTCTGTAATGTCAGGACTCTTGTTCATGGGGGGTGGGCTCACTTCTGGGGAGCCCAGGCCTCGTCTAGAATATTGGGGCTCTGCTGGGCTGGGATCCCATCCTTCCATCCCTCTGACTCAGCCTGAATTTCCCTGCGTGTCTCTCTCTGGTGTAAAAGCCTGGCGTGAAGCGTAGAAGGATCCTGATAGTTCCAGAGAACAACAGCCAACTGCGTGCCATTTCCAGGCAGTGAAGGAAAGATAAATCCACCCTGGGATGCTGGGAGTGGGAGCCAGGGGAGAGGAGCAGCGCATTCATATTTATCAGATACTATCTCAGAACTGCCCTCCTGTCCCATTTACACAGCCCTGTTTTGCATAATTCAATATTCAGATGCACTGGGCAGCAGTGTGGAATCCGCACATTTCTCCCCAGGAGTTGGGGGAAATGCAGAACCGTACTTGCCTTCTGTAGCAGAGAAACCTCCCCACCAGAGCAAATGGATCACAGTAAACAGACACAACTGCAACCTCTCTCCAGGAGGTCTGAAAGGGGCAGCACACCCCACCTCTCTCCCCCCACTCTATGCCTCTTGTCCTGGGACTGTCAGGAGGGCCTTCCTTATTGACCCCCTTGAGATTCAGAGTTCATTCCTGTGGAGGAGCGGGAGCCCCTAATTCCTTCAATAAGCCCAACCAGAAGTAGATCAGTACAGGGGGAAGATGCTGGCTAGACAAGGCACTAACCAACCGGCTTAGGGAAGAGGTTCTTGACCTGGAGGTCATGCCCAAGTGTCAGGGGGGTCATAGCCACCTTGCCCTGCCCCTACTGATAAATGTCGGGGCTAGATTATTGAAAAGCGTGTTGCAATATGGAAAAGGTCGAGAACTACTGTGGCACAAGCCTGTGGACTGTGTGATGAGTTGGCTGGGTCTCAGTTCAGCAAGGAGATCAGGACCTTGAAAGACAAGTTTCTCAGAGGACAACCAGGGTAAAGCACCAGCCAGCTCTTGGGGACCTGAGATAAATAGCCACTTTGTTCCCAGGTGAAACTGATTTGCTGCTCCCGGCTTAATCTGCGGGAGACATTTGTGTGCAATACCACCATGCAGAGAGGGCCAGCTGGCAGCCCTGGCTCAGGGGAGGCCCCGACCTAGATAGCAGGTGAGATTGTAGGTCAGGAGAGAGCTACATTGCCCGGTCTGTCTGGGCGACTCTGCATAGAGCTGATTGTATAGTGCAGCCAAACTCCTCGCTAGACCTTTGCTTCCAAGAGCATGATGTCGTCTACAACCATTTAAGAAACGGGGAGCTAAGGTGATGGCTCAGGGGGCTGGGATTCATTTCCAGTCCAGAGAGTGAGTGACCAAAAGCCGTTGCCATCAGAAGATTATGTGCAATAAGCTAATGGGTCTCACTCTAGTTCCTAGTGGGGACACACTGTCATAACTGGCACCAAATGACAAGTCTTGGCAGAGGTGCCGGGGACTGACTGGATGGAGACTGGAGGTGGGGTCGCCATGCCAGGGTTTAGGGCAGCAAGAGGGATGCTTGCCCTGCCACTTGGCCATGCTTGTACCTGTTCCAAAGACGTAGGACTTTGCTCTCCAGAGGTGCCTGGCCCCACCCTATATATGGCCAGTGCTAAGTGCAGGAGCTGCCCGCAGCGAGGCCAAGGACTGACCGGGGCAGGGAGGCCAACCTCCCCTCTCATCCCGCCAGGCTGGGGCGGAGAGGCGGGGCGAGCTTGCCCCGTGGCACCTGCCCTGTGGCTAGACACAGGCATTCGAACTCCGCACACGCATTGTCCAGGGCTCTCTGCTCAGTGTCCCCCTCTGGATCCCCCGTTTGGACCCTGCAGCCTGCACCCCCATCCTTGTAGGCTGACACCCCCGTCCCCTGCTGATATCCGCATTTGGGGCCCCTTCCTTCTCGGAGGGGGCAGAGCTATTGTGCACTGGGCTCTCCCCACCATCCCGGGGTGCAAAAGGTCTTTCCACAGTGTCCCTAACTGGGTCAAGCTAAGAGCATGGAGGCCATGCTCCAGTGGGGCGCAGGGGCTAATTGAAGAGTGGGGACACCCCCGGCAGGAGGTAGCAGATGGGTCTCTGGGTGCACAAACCCCTAGCCAGGGACCCCCCCCCCCCCCCGACCTGCCCCAAAGCACCCAGGGCTGTTGGAGGAGGCAGAGAAAGAGGGAGGGATTCACAGGCTCCCTGTGTGCTTTGTTTCCCCAGGTCTCCTGACAGCAGCAGCTGACGGCCCAAGCCTGGTGCCTCCACTTCTGGCTGCCGCAGCAGTATAAATACCGCCGCCCTGGGGCAAGGGGCCAGCCCCTCTGTCCGCATCCCCATGGGTCGGTCTCCTTGCAGCAGGGCCTGGCAAGACACTGCTCTGCAGCCCATACGCTGGACACAGAACCGCCTGGGCTGGGAGCCCCGCTCTGTTGCCGGCTGGGATGATGCCAAACAGCTGGAAAGACGTGTCGGGTTTATCCCTATCCAATGGATTTCTGGCGTCCGGAGGGGTTTTAACTGAAATGCATCTTTCTGCAAACCTTTGCATTGTGAACAGAGGGAGCAGCCCCTTGGCACCCAGAGGGTTAAAGAGTGGGCATATTTGCTGCGGCTGGCTCACTAGGGAGCAGCCCAGGTGAGACCCAAGGAGAGACGGACGCAGACTGATGTTTAACCACAGCGGAGCTGAGAGTTGGGGATGTCTGTCCATCACCTTGAAGCAAACTCTCTCTTACTGTATTTCTCCTCCCCTCCCAATCTCCAGAGACAGAGAGGATGCAGAGGGGACAGCTCCAGAGAGAAGGTGCTAAGGTCATCTCATCTCGACCCCACTGGTTCATCTTCAGCCCTTTGGGGAGTCCCCTGAGGTTGTGGGGCTGTCTGAGCCAAGCCCTCACTCCACACCCAGTAGCACAGGTTCCCCACAGGCTGCTGTGAGTTGTTCCATAGGGAAACACTGATTTGATGAGTTTCTCTTCCCTTTCCATTTGCAGCTTGTCCATCAGCAGCTCACAATTTCCCCAGGTTTATTCAGTGGCTCAGAACAAATGGCCAAATTATTCCTACAAATAAATTCTCAGCCTGTCGCCCACTTGCAGTCAATTCATCACTGGGTAGGTGTGTGGGGGGGGGGAATCTTTCAATTGAGTCATGTTCATTTGTTTTGATTGGTCCCATGGTGGTGTTTTTGGGCCTTGACTGGCCAAGCATCGCTCTTGGGACGGGGTTATATGTTCCGAATTGGGGTCCCATGAGTGCCCTCCAACCTTCCTGCTGACGTCCCTGCTACGAAACGTTGGCTAGGAGATTCCCAAAGAGCGACGGGGGTTCAGTTCTTGTCGGCGGAGGGTAGTCTGGGGAGGTATTCGCCGTGTGCATGGGCAGGAGGGAGAGAGAGGGTGGAGTGAGGACGTGCTGAGACCCTGAGCTGTTGGGTTGGAAAGGGTTGTTTGCCTCACACTGGTCTGATCCCACGGTTGAAGTAAGAGAAAGGTCAGGGGAGCCGGTCAGGGTGCTGGGGAAGCACTCAGGGCTCAATGTTGCAGCCTTGTGTAGACCAGGATTTAGGAGGTGTTGGCTAACTTGTGTTCATGGCCTGGTGCAGACAAGGTAGGGTGCCTAGGGATAGCTCAGTGGTTTGCACATTGGCCTCCTAAACCCAGGGTTGTGAGTTCAATCCTTGAGGGGGCCACTTAGGGATCTGGGGCAAAAATCTGTCTGGGGATTGGCCCTGCTTTGAGCAGGGGGTTGGACTAGATGACCTTCTGAGGTCCCTTCCAACCCTGATATTCTATGATCTATGTTGCATGGCTCATGTTAAAGCCTAGGTCAAGGCACCAGTGTAACACATATTAAAAGCACAGTGCCTTGACCACACTAGGCTGTTAACATCTTCCAAATCCTTGCCCGGACAAGGCCCGAGTGCCTACAACCCACTCTGAAGCTAATGGGAGCTGAAGTTGCTTGGCACCTCTCAGGATCAGGCCTTTTCTGCTCTATAGAGAGTGCTGTACAGTGGTCAGAACTACACAGCTGAAGAAGAGATGGTCCATGCCCCGAAGAGCTTATCCTTAGAGAGGCGCCTGAGCCAAAGCCGTGGGTGCAGACATCCCCGAGCTGTGGGCAAGTTTGGATCTCAGGCTTTGCATGTCCTTCTCCAAGGTACCAACAGGTACAGAGCCATCAACACACATGAAATGCATCTGGACACTAGTGCAGCCAGGCCTTGCAGAACAGGCGGGTCTGCATGGGAGGAAGGAGGCCCATAGGAAAGGTCCCTTGCAATTCAAGGGGACGGCATGGCAGAAGGCAGAGAGCAGGCCAAGGGGAGACTGAGCAAGACCAACGTGGATCAAAGTTTGCAGGAGTCCTTGAGGCACTGATATAAACTAGGAGAGACTTGATCCCTGCTGCCGGGGCGTCCGGGGGGGGTCTCTGAATGCTAGACAGTGGGGCAGCATTGTCCAAGGGGGGGGGGTCTCACTCTGTGCCCCCAAAACTGAGATCCAACAGGTAGCTGGCTGGTGATTTACAGCATTTTCCTATCCCGGGTCCGGGTCCCAGAGTGGCTTTGTAGTTGGGGATTGCAGGATGGGCCATGGGCTGGGTTCCACTTTTCATTCCCTGCAGCCCAGGGGTGACCTGGCCCAGTCCTCTCTCACGTGGCCTAAAGAGCTGGCTGCTGCCAGGGAGAAGATCCCTAGCAAGCCCCACTCCATCATCTTGTAAATATTAACAGGGGTCCTTCTCCTCCCCCACCATCTCGTTGCGAGTGGGACTCTGATCCACGGAATTTTTTCCACTGTAATAAGTTTCCAAAAAACTTGTGATGTCGACAATGTAAGGAAATAAAATTCTAACTTTATTAATCAAAGAGGCTCCTTCCAGGCAGACTCTTGTTTCCCTGGTGATGGTTTGCCCCCATCCCTACTGCCGCAGCGAGGGCAGGCTGGGGGAAGCGGGGATTACCTCCTGGGAGCTCTTGGCAATGGCTTGGCAGGCCACTACGTAACGGGCACATCTTAAAAGGAATCAGCGACACGAGAAGTCCTGGCCCTGATCCTGCAATCCCTCCACAAATAGGCAGAGTGAAGGGGAAGCCCTACAGGAAACCTATTGCTTCAGGCTTCATGGCCTGCCAATACGCTGCAGCCACCACCTCCTATTTCAGTGGCTTGCTCTGGTTTTCTGAACTTTGGGGGCAAAGCGCACCAACCTGAACGGAAGGCACTGGCCAGAGAACTGCGGCAGCTGCTCTGAGGTTCAAAAGCCAACTGCCCTCTTCTCCCCTTCACCTCACTTAGGCCTGGTCTACACTAGGACTTTAATTCGGATTTAGCTGCCTTAATCCGAATTAACCCTTCACCCGTCCACACTACAGAGCCAGTTAATTCGAATTAAAGGGCCCTTTAAATCGATTTCTGTACTCCACCTCGACGAACGGAGTAGAGCCTAAATCGATTTTGTTAATTCGAATTAGGGTTAGTGTGGACGCACACCACCGAATTACTGTGTTTAAGTTAATGGGGTAGTGTGGCCGCACACCACCGAATTAATGTGGTTTAAAACCGAATTAAGGTGCTTAGTGTGGCCGCGCACAATCGAATTTATACAACCTGTTTCCCAAATTCGAATTATCTAAATTCGGATTAATCCTGTAGTGTAGACATACCCTTAGGCAGAGGGCTGTGTTTTCCGGCGACTGAGCTTGAGGGAGTGGGATAGGCTTTTCTATAGCCCCACCTCCACTGCAATATCCGAGCAGCCTCCCCCATTAATGAATTTATCCCTCTGACTCCCCACCAAGATAAGTAGGAAGTTATGCTTCCCATGTATAGAGTGGGAAAGACAGGCCCAGAGAGACGAAGAGCCAGGTTTGCAGAGGAGTGCACAGCTGTGATGAAAATCCGTCCATAAGCCTCACACTGGGAGCTGAGCTTTTTGGAAAAATCCTGTGTCAACTGTGGCAGCTGAGCTCTTGAGAACCTGACCCTACTGTACACATCCAAGGTCCCCCGCCCCGCCCATCAGGACGGCAGGACTGGGAGTAAAGCCTCTAGTCCCCTTACAAAGCCGTAAACACCTCCTCTTCCTTCTGTGCCAGGCTGCTGCCTGTGAATGAACACATGCAGCTGGGGATGGGTAGCAGCAAGCATGGTCCTTCAACAGCTCCCAGGTCAGTGGCAGGGTTAACAGAAGCTGCCTCCTCCTCTTTGTGATGTGCTTCAGGTGCACAATGAACTCTCCTCCGACTGGGCAGCCACCAAGGGAGCTGGGTGGGCAGCTAGCCAGCGGCATTTAAATACCTGCCTTGTTCTACAGGGCTTCATCGTCCTCCCCCCACCTCCACTGCAACCCGAGTTCAGAGAGTCAGTCTCCAAGGCACTAATTCATGTCTCCACCTAATTACCATTGATTGGATTTCCACGTTCAACAGTCTCTGTCATTATCAGGGCACCATTCGGAGTGGTTCTACGTGAGGGTCTGTGAGAGAAGCGGCTTCAAACCCAGAGAGGCGATTTGCAGCCCAGGCACAGAGCAGTTCAGACAAGGAGCCTTTAATTATCCATAAAACACAGGCTGGCAGGAGAGCAGTGTCCCTCATCTGGAAAAGCAATCTCAACTGGTCCCTGGGCCCATGCCGGGGCTGAGCCAAAGCCCAAAGTCACTGGGACTCTCCCACTTGGCTTCAAGCTTTGGATCAGGCCCTCCTCTGTCCTCAGCTTCTCTGCTGAGGCTGCCACTCAATTATTTATATCATCCTAGCGCTTGGAGTCCCAGTCATGGGCCAGGAGCCGCACTATGCTAGGTGCTGTCCCTGCCCCCAAGGAGTTCACAGTCTAAGAGGGCGTCCAGATGCTACGGCCACCACGGTATTGCACAGACAGCACCACTATGGTAATTGCTACCCCAATTAGTGCCGGCCCGGAGTTGGGTTGTGCAACGTACACAATCATTTGCTAGGAACTGGGCTGCCACCCCTCTCTTTTTGGTTGCCAACTGGTCCTCCCCAATGGGGCTATTTGAGTTACAAGGACGCTCCTAGTTTAGTAGTGCTTCTCTCCTTTGTAAAGCATTTTGAAGAGTATCTTTAGACTCGTTTCACAGGTGGAAACAGCGAAGACACAGAGCAGTAACTAGCTTGCTAGAGGCTACACAGCAGAGCCAGGAACAGAGCCCAGCTCTCTGGAGAGCTAGGTAGGTGCTCTACCCACTGGGTTACACAGTTTCCTATCTTGCCTTTCCTGATGAGGCGCTGTTATTGTTATGGATGCCTATGGAGTAACTCGATACGTTGTAATTTCATTA